GCCTGGGCCCCTCCTGCGGCTGTCCCTGCCACTGCTCTTGCCAGCAGCAGGTAGTCTGCAAGGCTGCGCTGCTGTCATGGGAGAGACAAGCTCATAAAGACTTCAGAAGCACATAAAGCATTCTCATAAATGCTGTATTTTGCTAACAGAACCTGTTTGGCAAATGCTTCGCTAGCCTTACCGCTGGGTATTTCAATCCACATCACAGTATCTACAAATATAAAATAATTTCTAGAATTACCTATTTTATTTTCCTTCCAACCTCTCAGAGACAGTATTTTTCTGTCTTCTATTTTCTGACATTTAAAACATAACTCTTGAGGCTGCTGGCCCCAGCCCCACAGCTCAGCCCTAAAGGAGGCTGCAAGGCCTTTGATGTGCCACTGCTGGTATTCCCAGCGGAAAGGATGGAAAAGAGCAAAGCAACATCACAATCTACCAGAAAAGAAAAACCAAACAGTACAAATGGGTTTTTTTCCTGATTCAGAGATGAGTTGACAATTATCTGTATCGCTCAGACAGCAAGGGAGAGAAATCCTATGGCCCGAGGCAGTGATCCAGTTGTATTGCTGATGGGGGAGTTGAATCAGTGATGGTCGCTGGCTGTTCACCTGTACAATGTAGATGTCGAAATGTTCTGCCTATGCTTAAACTGCAGCCTATAAATTCAGCTCAGTTCACTTTTCACGTTCCAATTCAGTAAAATAAACAGGAATCCCAAATAAAGCCACTGGGACCAGGCAGCCCCGGTCCCGCCAGTCCGGGCCAGCTCCCAGCCAGAGCAGGCTGTAAGTCACCACCCAATGGTGCCATCTGCTGACAGCGGGCTATTTCCTCACTCTCACCGTTGCTTCCATTCTGTACCGTGTCTGGCGCTGTTGGTCTTTTCCATGTATCCTCAGCAGTTGTTGATGAAAACCGTGCGGCAACTTCTCCAGTTTGAAAGGGTTGAGCTTCAGATGAAACGCATCCTCTGTGCCAGGGCATGACTTGCCAGCAAAAAACCCAATTCTGTTTTTCATGATGGCTCCATATTACATTAAACTACTGGGGAGTAAGAGAGGCTGCCCTGTGTCGCACACTGTCAGCCTCACTGCCAGGCAAGTTGTGAATCCCACTGAGTAATTCCACACGAAACAAACATTTTCTTTCATGTAATATTACGTACATATACATGTAGCTGCATTTCAATGTCGTATTTCATAGAGCATTAGCTTGCTGAACTGCCAGGCTAGAAAACTCAGTCTAAAATCAGTCTGAATGAGCTGATATCATCAGGGTATCATTGCTTCTATTAGAATTTCTTTGGTTTTCAGCTTAGGCCTTAGTTTTCTGGCTGGTGCTTCAAGCTTTGCCCCCTTTTCAGCTGCAGGGCTGGCACTGAACTGTTGCTATGAACAGCAGCTGTTATCAGGAGATTCTGTGATAGCCAGACTTCAGACTCACTGAAGACCTCTATCTTCAGTGATCCATTTCCCCACGCAGTTAAAAGTGTTGGCATTTCTGTACAATGAAGTGCATGAGGAGAAAGAATGAATCTGTACTCAATGGAAATGTAATTGGTAAAAAGAAAACCAAGAGGTACTGAGCAGAGCTGAGGAGAGCCACAAGGAGGAGCTCAGGACCTGCCCATTCCCAGGATGGGGACTGGGAAGCATCCCGGGAGGGATGAGGTGCAGCAGTTCTGTATTACTGAAAAACCTCAAGTGAAACAGAGCAAAAAATTATTCCTTCAGTTTCTTCCAGGATGGTGCAATTCTGTCTGCATGGTCCCTCCAACCCAGTCAAATGAGTAACAGTGCTGGGTGAGCTTGTCACAGAGCTGAGCCTCCAACTCAGCACCGTGTCAGGTGCCGAGAGCCCATGATCACCCAGCTTCCCACCTCTGCGCACATCTGCTTTCTCCCTCTTCTCCCTCTGAGAAGGGTAAACCAAATAGCCCATTCACCACCTCTCAAGCAGCACAAGAAATCACAAAACCTTTGGCAAAGCCAGACTTGCCCATTCTGTATTTGATGAAGTGTGACAAAAGTCACTGAAACTTCTGAGAAAGACTCTTTCTGCCAGATTGCCACGTCAATACTTCAGGCTGTCAGCTTTAAATAATCACTTCTAGTGTTGTTACAATCTCATATTCTAAGTATTTTCTATAGCTAAACATACAAATACCTTCACAGTATTGATACTGGTAACAGCACAAATCCCTGCATTACTGTGTGTTCCAAAAAGACTACGGAAATACAACTGCATCTCAAGTAATGAAAAAAATCATTAGGAAAGATTGTTAAGTGCCTAATTCTCATGTATTTCACCTGGAATGGACCACTGAAGGGACTAGCTGAGCCTTACTCACTTTGGGCTGCAGTTTTAGTCTAATGGCAAACGTTGGATAACTTAAAGCCTTCCACGAGCTGGAGCTGTGTAGCACGTTAACAACAGCTTGATGGGATGTGCTTTGGGATTCACAGACTGCTGTAGTACTACAGCCTGAGAATTACAACAGACAGATAGTGCCTTGAGAGCCCCATCCCTGCCCCAGCTCTCCATGTAGTCTGCAGTGGACAATCCTCTGCCCCTTCTAAGCAGAGAAACATAACATATTAACTGCAGGGTTAGAGAAAAGTCTGAGGCAGAGCTGATCCTGTTCCACACCTCCTGATTGTAGCCACACCTCACCATTATCATATGAAAAGAGAAAGAAAAAAACAAAACCAAAACAACCAAAAGGAAAGCAGCCCGGTATGTGGCTGTGATTCCAAATAACAACAGTGTGTGCAGCCTCATAAATGCTTCAGAATTGACCAAGAGGAAGCACGTTTCATGATGACACAATCTTGTTGCTGTAGTCATTCATCGAAGGGAAACTCCCACAGGAAAAGGCATAAAGCTGCTTAGGGAAGGCTAAGAAGCTGCTCAGCGGTAGTCAGTCAAACATTGGGTTAGATTCACACCAGAGCTAACATGAACACCAGCCAAGGCCCTTTTCAGTTTTCTTCTGGGTCCCTCAGGGGTAGTTCAGGGTGCGGTTTGGCCCAGCAAGGAACTGCTTTCAGACCGTCAAGCGCAGTTGGTGGTGCCAGCAGCACACAAACCTCCTTCTCCTCCACAAGACCCCTCTGGCTGGCTGCTGGAGGAGGGGCACCTTGGGGAGGCTTCGGCGAGCACCATGGGGAAAGCATCTTCCTGGGTGGGAATGAGAAACAGACTATGCAAAACCTGAATGACCGTTTGGCTGCCTATCTGGACAAGGTTCGTTCCTTAGAAGCAGCTAATGCTCAGCTGGAAAGCTGCATCCTAGAGTGGCACAAGACAAAGTCTCACGGCAAGAGGCATGACTTCAACCAATATGAGCAAAACGTCACTGACATGCAAAGACAGGTAAGTCACAGTTGCAAGTGACTGTGTCATTCTACGCTCTTTTAAGAAATCTAGATGCTCATTTATGCTAATGGCTTTCCTTTAAAGAAAGTTAAATAAAACCTTTTCAGTGCTAGAAATACTAATGCAAGTGGGTGCAGGACCTGGGCATAAACATTCTTTGGGCTCTCAAGGAGGAGAGTGGGGTAAAAGAAGGAAAGAAAAGCTGCAGATGGCAAGAGGGGTTCTGCAAGGGCTGTAGCATAAAGAGGTTTGTACGCTGCCAAGTCTTCATCTCTGTACATGAAACTGTGGTTGAAGTAACTACATCTGGCAGAAGCTGGTCTTTTTGACTGCACATGTATTCAAGCAAATTACAAAGCAGGCAAGCACAAGAATCTGTCTTGTTTCATGCGTGCTCTCTTTAGACATAATGTTGCATTTCGGTTCTTTGATTCCTGTGGTAGCAGACAATGAAACTACAGGAGGTTTGGGTCCAATGAGCTTATGTAATCAGATGGAAAAATACTTCATTGTAATTAAGAAAATAGCAGTGACAAATTCCTTGTGGATGTTTTCACTATAATTAAAAGGAGAATTTCTGGTTCCTACCAGTAGTTAATATTAACGTACAACAGTAACTCTTTCAATCTACCAAACTCACGTGTCTTCAAATTCAAGCATAGTATTAATCAGGATTCCTAATGAACATGCTTAGCACTGGCACCATCTGTGTGACTAATCCGTGTCATTAACTTTACACAGCCATATGGCGCAAAACCCAAAGCTACTCCAAACACAGTGCTGTAGTTTTCCCTCTACTTTTTCTAATATGGTTACTTGGCATTCACAGAACCCTGAGGAATGTTTTTCAAGAGGGCTTGGAGATGGAGTTATCCCGCAGCTTTGGGGACTGAAGCCGGGGACTTAATCAAACTCCCTGCTCGGTGTTAAATGTGTTGCCTCCAGGCAGAAGATGAGGCACTCTGACCACAGACAGTGTGGAAGGAGAGCCAGAATTGCCATCACCTAGTTCTGTTTTAAGGATAAGGAAAGGTCATCCGTCTCCAGCCCTAGCATTTGAGCAGGGTTTTTTTAATTGATCCAGAGATAAAAACTTCTTCATCGAGAATATAAACGTGTTCACACTGATCTGGCATTAATAAGACTTAGGAAGACAGTCAGTAAGACTGAAGTAATAGTGCTGACTGGGATAAAGCCTCACTTTTGAATAGGCTGTACCCGAACCACTTAATTTTAACCCTCACCACTTAAAGAGCTGTTGCTGGCTCCAGGCACCTGTGAGAGCCAAGGCTGTCCCGGCTGTGGTGCCCATGCTGGGAAGGGCTAGTGAAGGGTTATTTATAGGCAACAGCTCAGGGGTTTAACCCAGAATTTTTACTTTCTCTATAAATTATTGCAATTAGTACACGACAGCCAATAAAATGAGTGAAAATACAGCATCTCATTATTAACCATAATTAAAGCAAGCATTAATTAAAAAGGTGAAACCAATGGAGTACACAAAATGAAATTTAGACAAAATTTAGGCTCCTGCATACAATAACCCATAACATCTACGATATACTGGCTGCCTAAACATAATCATCATGGTCCTGCATTTTGGTCCACATTCTGCCCTGGATGCCTGAGTTCTGGATAAATGTGCCAGATAGAGCAACAAGTTGCCTGGCTCCAGCCTGATTCCATACAAACCCCAATACACAGTAGAACAGCAGCAGTTCTTCAGGGGTCTCATTCAAAGACAGATACCACTAAAGTAGCAAACTGATTTACAGAACACTCAAGGAGCCAGGCACAACGGTGTTGGATAAAGGACACAAGACATGCTGAGGGAGAAGTCAGTGCAGGAAGGCTTCTTGATAAAAACCTGTCTGAGAAGGAATTTGAGTGTATTTCACATACAATAACATGTGAGTTCTTAATAAGGTTAGCTGTAAGTTTGGGGGTTGATATTAGTGATCCACCCATAATTCACGAAAGATGTAGTGAAGAATTCTGTGTAATTCTAACCAGCTAAACAGCCATACGTGGAATGTGCTATTGCTGGGACAGCAACGGGTGTCATCCAGCGGGTGACAGGACACTGACAACTGCTCTGATAGCACAGACTCATAAAGCATTTCTGTAACTGTGGCTTTGTTGCTTTTTGATTACGAAATGGCAAAGTGGAAGAACTCATATGTCGCTTCCTCATTGCTTTGTTACCTTCCATGGCAAAATATACCATTCTCTAGTGATGGATTAAAGAATTGCCACTTCTCTGACAACAAATTCCAGGCAGCAACACATGGAGGGGATTGTTACACTTTTTCAGCTGGCCTTGATCATGTCCCAGGGCAGGATAGGAGGTGTGCTGCTAATTGCTCACGAATGTACAGTCAACAGATTAGTGACAACATTCCACAGGCACCTTCTTCTTTACAGCGAGAGGTAAACTTTTGACACTTAAGGACAATTTTGTCATTTCCTCATTTCTCTGTGATTCATTTAGGTGTGGGAAGTCTTACTTCAAGGTGCTGAGAGCTCTGTAAATGGCTAATGATTTCTGCACAGCCATAACACACCTTGGTTTGCTATGTCAGAGCACAGTGAAGGCAGCTCTTGGAACTGTGACCCTGCTTCTCCTTCCTCTGTGTTAGAAAAGGACACACCGTCCCACAGTTATCGGATCCTACTAATTATGTATCAGTTCCTCCTAGAATTCTTTCAGAGATTTTGACTGGAATACTCAGGGGTTTGTATTCAAATCTATAGTTCAAAGCTATTTGTGTTAACAGGGCTTACAAGCCTCTTCAGTGCCCACAGAGTACCCTAAGTGAATGACACCGTGCACTCCCTCCTGCAACTTTTAGGGCAATTACCAACATCCCAAAGCAAAATCAGAAACCTGAATTAATCCCTCCACGCTGCTGGAGAATTCAGTACAGTGAATAATAGGAACAGTGAATAGTTGGATGGACCATGACAACTAGATGCCAGTGTTATTCTCAAAATGACAATCATGAGACTCCAGACTGAGGACTGGAGGGCTCCTGCCACTGTTGTTATGCTTCTGCACCCCACCACTGCTGCAGCAAGGTGTCCCTGCACATGCTTACTGATTAGCATCGGATTCATTCCAGCATTTTGATTATATTCAGACACAGCTTAATGATTCTCATTGAAAGTTGCCCTCAAGATGACCAAGGCTGCTCTTCCAGCCATGCTAAACAGAAACAAAAGCAGTTCACAAAAAGAGAGGAAGACAGTGGTTGTTATTCTGTAATATCCTGTGAAGTTAGTGTAACATTGTTCGTATCCTCTTCCCAGCCAGGAATAACAGGACTCATCCTGCTTAGTATCCAGAAAAATAAGACAAAGAGAAAAGTAAGATTATAGACAAAAGCTGCAGAAACATCTAAGTGAATCAGGAAACTAAGATGCTTTAATTCATGTATTATGAGTAACGTGGGAATTCTACTGTTTAGATGCTTCCTACAAGCAGCAGGGAGTCTAACCCAGCACAGGTTATTCACCAGCACCATAGGGCACCACTGAGTCTCCTGTTGGATTCTCTGTTTTCCAGATTGAGGATGGCAAGATCACCAATGCCAGTATCCTTTTACAAATTGATAACGCCAACATGGCATCTGAAGACTTCAGGCTCAAGTAAGCTCTTCTTTGGTTTCCTGATTAAATTGGAAAGAGAGTTAAGCAAAATATGGCTTTTTCTAGATAATCCAATATGATTGAATTTACCGAGGTTTTCTGGTGATACTGGGCAAATAAAACCAATGTAGAACAGGAGAATAACCCAGAAAGGATAAAAAGGATGCAAAACCCACAAACAATTGCTGAACAATCTTGAGTCACCCTGTTTATGATACTTAATTCAGGTCCTGAAGAGCAGGTTTTACAGCAGACACTTGATATGTGTGACAAAAGGCACTTAAAACTGCCACCTGGGAATACAAATTAACCCTTGCCTGCACTGTGCTTCCCCAGTCCAGCCCCAATCCATTTCCTGCATGTATCACCTCTTCTGTCCAGCTCTGCAGGCAATACCTGTCCTGCAGTAACTTCTGCTTCCAAGACTCCTCAGTCAGACTTCTCAGAAGTCATGCAGATTTGCCTTATTTTCAACAGATGAGGATCAGCTATTAAAAACCTCCTGGATTTTGGTGATATTGTAGCAAACCTAAAGCCTCTGAGCACTGCAGCTCTGCCTCGCCTGGCCCTTCTTCCGTTGTCATTCAGTAGTGACACAAAAGGAAACTTGTAGAATGAGTCTGAGGGATTGAACGTAGAAAATCCAACAGAACACACAAAAATGAAGTAAAGGGAGAGATTCTGAGGAGCAAAAGTGCTTCATATTGCCCAAGGGAAGACATTGTGGTGTCTTTCTGACCACCTCACTACAAGTGACAAACTGTAAGAGGTTAGAGAGGAATCATGTTCTCAAAACTTTCATAACCTGGTGAACGTTAAAATGCAAAAAGGAAAATGAAAGAAAGAGCAATTATTTCTGATGATATAGGAGGAGTCGTGAGGAAGAAAGAAACCCAGTAATGAAACTCATCTGATTAAGACTATTCGAGAATATTAGAAGAACATATTTTAGAAACAGAATGTGTTTCCTTGGGTGCTTTGTTCTCTCTTGTTCTCTACATAGAGGACTCAAGCAAGCCAGCTTCTTTTCCCTCCCAAAGGTATGAAGCAGAGAAGTCACGCAGGCAGGGAGTGCAGCTTGATGTGGAGAACCTGCGGAAGGAGCTTGATGGCCTGACCATTATTACAACAGATTTGGAAATGGAAATCGAGGGCTTGAGAGAAGAGCACATCCTCAGGAGGAAAGACCATGAGGAGGTAGGAAAAGTTCCACTTGGTAAAATCCTATCATACAAATCTTTGCCATCATGTAATTAACTTTGAGGAAGATCCACAATCTATAAATGGGACTGATGATTCAGAACCAAACCGTGTTTTTACAGAGGCCAATGCCAGTCAGATGAGGCACAAAGTTTGTGGTGTGCTACTTTACCCACTAACCTGGAATTTCAGAGAGGATAACATTGCTGTATTTTCTCCCACTCTTTTCTAGTCACCTATCCATCTGTTGTACATAGCTAATAAGGTCTTACATATTCAACCAAAATGTCCTCAAAAATACTTAGACGTAAATATACAGAGATTGCAAATAAGTAGGAATTGTTACAGCCTGCTGGTGAGTTTTACTCACCACAGACTTTTTCCTCCATTCTGGATATATCATTTCACACAATCACAGAGCACAGAGGAGTAGCTGAGATTGGAATGGGCCTCTCGAGTTGAGATCAGCAGGCTGACCTGGCTAAACAGACTTTGACTCCAATAGGAATGAGTGGTGAAATCAAATCAAATGATTTATTCTTGCAAACCCCTGACCACGGTCATTAGATGATACTATTAATTATCCAAAAACACACTGCTCTGCATCCTCCTGGAGTGACAACCCCATGGGCCCTGTAATTCCCACATATACAATACCACTGCTTGACACTGTTTCCATTTTGTTTGATTGGATGTTGTTTTCAGTTATTACTTAAGGCAGAAACAAACATCCTACTCAGGATCTGTGGACTATTAGAATGGAGAGTAGAAACACAAGGGTTACACAGCAGCAGGTGAAGCTGCCTTGGCAGTAGTATCCTTATATCCTTATAGCCAAGGATACTACTGAACAGCTGGAATAAACAGTTCTTGGAAGCAGGGCAACCACCAGAGACATCAGTCCAGCCAGTCGAACTGCATTTTGGAGGCTGTGATGTCTTGATATGCATTTTGGAGGCCGTGATGTCATACTCTGAAATGCTGCTTTGCCTGGGTGCTTGTGAAAATGGTACCTAGCACATAAGATTGTACTACAGCAACAAGAATGTTCCCAGACCTGCTTGACTTGTCCTGTAATTATGCTGTTTACACAGTAATTATATGCTTTAATCCAATTATTCCTTTAACAATTACATAGAACTTTTACATTGCTCTCCTGTAAACTTACAGTTCCATAAATATTAACATACGGGGAAGAAAGATGAAATTACTGTTAGATTTTCATCAAAGATTTTGGGTTCCTAATAGTTAAATAAATAAAAAATGGCAGCATTTCAGTAAGCATGCATCTGCCAGAAACATTCTATGGAAAGATCTTCTCACATGGTTTTTATTGAGCTCTCTGGCACAGTTCTGCCATAGGAGGAAATGTAAGTCACTGGTTTAAGTCACGTTGCAGTATTAGCCATATATCGATTCTTCAAGTAATGTTAACTGAATACAGATAGCAATTAACCTACCACAATGAAAAAATACTTGGGATATTGTGAGAGAGTGGAACTGAAGGAGACAAGACAGGGATGAAAACTTTCCACCTTCATAAACAAGTTTGCTTGTTTCCTCTGCTAATATATGAATAGAACATGGAAGCAAATCGCTCATCACAAGACTTCAAAGTCAATGTAAAAGTAAATGCAGCACCTCCTGAAGACTTAGCCAAGATTCTAGCAGAAATAAGAGAAGATTATGAAGCCATCATTGAAAAGAATCGTCAAAGCCTGGACAGTTGGTACAAAGAACAGGTAATGGCTGTTTTCTGCTCATTTCACAGATGTTGCTGTATGTGACTGACCAGACTCAGAAAGCTTTTCTCTTGCCTTTGCCTCATAGAGCACAGCAATGTCCCTGGCAGCAACCCCAAACCCAGAGCAGATACAGCGTAACGAGACTGAGATCAAGGATCTCACACGTACCTTACAGTCCCTGGACATCGAGCTGCAGGCACAGATGAGTAAGGTATCAACTGCAGACATCTGTGGCTGGTTATTTCATATATTTTCAGAAACGGTTGTGAACCAATTCCTCATTTAAATCTGTAGTGCAGCATAACTTAATTGTAGTTATTAAAGTATCAGTGAAATTGCTGTGAAATTTGGACCACACTTTACCAGAATATGTAAAATAGATTTGAGGCTATCGCCAAGAAGGGAAAACTTTCTGTCTCTCCTTAGAACAAAAAAAGAAGAGCTGCTATCATGGGATAGCTGACTCCATCATCTAGAAAGAAAAAGTGTCCAAGAAGACAAATAGTAATAAAATTTCATATTTATAACCCCTATTACAATACATGAAACATACGAACTGGGAAAAATATTGGTGGGAAATCTTTGAAAGTGTTACTCGACTCTTGTATGGTTCAAGCTCGCATACCCACAGCTTGGAGACTTCACAGCAATTCTGGGCAGTAAATGCAGGACAAAGAGTCACTAGTTCCAGGGGCGCAGTCTGTGAGTAGAACCACGCAAGGGTAAATCACTCAGGTTTTGCCTCTCATTATGCACACACGATGCAGCCTCATGATCCTGCTGTCTTCACAGGAATAGTCATGCAAATGCCTGAGTGTTTAAATTACCACAGTCTTAATTTTGCAATCTTCTAGCTAGAGACCAAATTCGCTGGCATTTCTGCCTGTGACTACTACATAAACACTAATCATGGTTTTGGTATTATCTGCTCCATCAGAAACGCATGCTGGAAGACACCTTGGCTGATACTCGGAATTACTACACTGTCGCACTTCGAAACATGCAGCAGATTATCTCCAAATGTGAGGAAGAGCTAAGCGAGGTTCGCCATGACATTAAGCAGCAAAATAACCAATACAAGGTTCTTCTTGGGATCAAAACCCGCCTGGAGAAGGAAATTTCCACCTACCGCCTGCTGCTGGAAGGGAATGCTGACGGGTAAGGCAGAGCCGCCCGGACTGGAACAGATGAGAAGAGAGTTCTCATATTCGGGTTATTTATTTGTTTGTTTGTTTATGCTTAATCAAAGCTTGTGAGTTCCAGCCTACATCAAGGGTTGGTATTTTAATGGGATGGATCATAATAAAAAGCCTGAGCCACTTGCTATACAGAGAAACCTGTATCCATAGGATTGGGATTACCCAAATTAATATCACTTTTTATTAAAAAAACCGACCACGTACATTGTCACAGCATGCCTGCCTCAGCAAAGGAAAAAATGCCAAGTTCAGTAAAATCCAGAGCCATTTCCTATATTCCAAACAAATTCTAGATCAAAAAGAAGCCTGAAGACAAGTTTCTATCTTTTTTGGCTGGTCACAAGCACACAAATGGGCAGAGCATATCCTGCCACTGATGGGCTGGCTGCTCTCCCCATCTCTGCCATGACTGAAGCCTCTGCTTGCAGCACTCCTGGGGTCTCTACTGCTTATTCTCTCTCCCTATATACAGAGTATAGTCTTCTTTACCCAAAATCAGAACAAGGAAGCTTAGCAGCCTTCAGAGCTGACAGTCTCAGAGAGGCAGTAACATGGCATCAAGTACAGGGTTATTTGTCAGAAGCCAAAGGGGGATTCAGTTGAGGAACTCCAAACACCAGCAGAACAAGGCAGCTGACCATAGCAGAACAACAGCCAGCATCCACAGGAGTGGCTTCAGGTCAGAGTACCTGTACCTGAGTGTGGGAAACAATGGAAACTATATGATTATTGCCAAAGAGAAGTAACTGCTTGGCAGGAGAAGAAAGAGTTAAAGAAAAAACAAAGTACAATCAAGCAGAGCAACCCAGCTGGCTGAGGAGGAGAGAGCATAAGATACCAAGACACCTGGCTGAGGAGGAGAGAGCATAAAGATAAGAGACTGACTATTCTGGGACTGGTTGTGAGAAAGCGAGCAGTGTTAAAAAAACAAACTATAAGTCAGGAACTAAACATGATAGGCTACAAATAGAATGGTATAAAAGCTAGAGTAATAGGCTAAAAATAACTGTTGTTAGAATGGTATAAAAAGTTAGAGCAGTAGGCAATGAATTGATTCACTGCATGAAGATGCTCTGGGTCTGTGCCTTCATCCCCTCACCTGAGATTACCCCAAGAGGAAAAATTCTTGTGTAAAAGCATCATTTGTTTCTCTTTTCACAGTGGTGGGAGGTCTTAGAATCAGTGAGCAGAAGAGGATGGAGAACTGGAAATCACCATAATCATTATTTTTTCTCTGTTTCATTATCTTTACAGGATCGCAAGAAAATGTGACTCAAAAGCTAAAGGTAAATGTCCCTTATTTTGTTCTCTATAGTACCTCCTAATTATTGTCATTTCCAATCAAATTCTACTCAGAATAATGTTACCCTTCTAACTGTGAAAGGTTGGCAGAGCAGTTACTGCACATGTAGGCCATATTAGAGAATAACTCCCGTGATTCATCAGTCCTGTGAAGGGCTGCACCTCAGAGCATGTTCTGCTGGGGCTGCCCACTCATGGAGTACCTTCAGACTGACCTTTGCTACTCAAACACAAGTCCAAAGCTCAGGCTCAGGACTAAAGCTTTCATGGCACAGAAGGAGGCACAGAGACTCCATTTGGTGACTAAAACTATGTTATGGCTTGAGAGCAAAGAGAAAATCTGCATGTCTGGAAACTCATATTTGGCATGAACATGACCTACAGACATGTAGGAGAATCCGCTCTGAAGTTAGATTTGCATTGGCTGGGATGGAGCTGTGTTATCCATTTGCCCTGACCTGGACAAGACTCGGGTTGACTTTCTGGCAGTACATTTCACAAAGAGCAATAATAAGTATTGACTTAAAGGGCAACATGTAAAGATAAATCAGATGAGGAAGTAGCTGGTAAATGACTGTAAATGAAGCTTTCCCTGCATCAGCTTCTCTCATCATTGCTTCTTGTCTAATTCAGCTCTCCTTTCAGAACACGGTGGGCTGACCAAACGAAAGATCAAAGCAATTGTCCATGACAGTGTGAATGGGCAGGTGGTGTCCTCCACCATCAACGAGATCCACCAGCAAGCATGAAGTAGAAAGCTCTGCTGACTCCTGGCAT